TTTTTTGGTTGCAGCCGTCATTTGTTGTTTGGGGGGCCCGGGCTGGATTCGAACCTGCCACCTTAGGTGTATGTGGCTGGCACCTTAGCCACTTCAGCCACAGGCGCTGAGCCAGCCTTAAGAATTTTGACATTGTACTAATGTTTCATTGCAAAGGCTTCTGGAAACCAACTCTCAGTTTGTGGTCAAAAAAAAATTCTATATCTAATTCTTAATTTTACTTTTTTGGGTTTATTTTGGCCGGAATCGGATTTGAACCTGCCATCTCCGGTATATGGGGCTGGCGCCCTACTCTTTTGAGCCACAGGCACTGCCCCTAGTTCTTAATTTTACATGCATATTTTCTTTATACTTTTCCATCTATTTGATGTTTTGTGGTGTTGTGTACAGTCTCATTCTCTCTGAGCTGATATAACACATTTCAAAGGCTTTCCTAGGTCACCCTGCTGAATGACAATACCAGATAGGTGTGTGTATGTGTTGTTTTTGGAGGCTGCCTAATATTTGGGGAGAACACATAATGACTTCTTTCAGTAGAACCAAAGTGGTAGGTGACCTTGCCTCTTGCTCCGTTTTCTATTGTATCTTATGAAATTTTTTATTTTGTAAATACTTAGTGACCAAGGCATGTAAATGTGTGTTTATGTGTTTGTATGCATGTATTTTACCTCTTGATTCTCCATATATGTATTAATCAAAACCAGCTTTTTACTAATCCTAATTGTTTGATGGAAACAGCAAGGAGCTAATCACATGCTAGTGTGCAGTAGGGATACTTTTTTCCTTACTTTTGTTATTCCTTGTAGAATTGAAAAGAATGGGTTATAAAATATTTTCTACTGATATAAGGAAGTGGTATTTTATTTTTATGTTTTTTTTTTTGAGACAGCCTTACTATGTCACCCTCAGTAGAGTGCTGTGGCATCACAGCTCACAGCAACCTCCAACTCTTGGGCTTCAGTGATTCTCTTGCCTCAGCCTCCCAAGTAGCTGGAACTACAGGTACCCTCCACAATGCCCGGCTTTTTTTTTTTTTTTCTTATAGTTGTCATTGTTGTTTGGCAGTCCCGAGCTGGGTTTGAACTCACCAGGTCCGGTGTAAGGTGGCTGGTGTCCTAGTGACTGAGCTACAGGTGCCAAGCCTATTTTATTTTTTATTTACTGTATTTTTTTAGAAGTCTTGTTCTTGAGGCTGTCTTCATCTCTCTTACCACTTGGAAATTAATCTTGATGGGTAAATATATATAGATGATTTTATACTGTAACACCAGATATTCGTTGTTTTGGATAATCTCTTTAGACCATATGCTTTATGGTCTGGCTATAGCCAGATATACGTACTTTGGATTATCTGTTACTCCTTTATTTACTACTACTATGGGTAACCTAGAGTTATTTGTGTTCTTAATCATTTGCAGATGTGGATTACAGATAATCTAGTAGGTATTTTTATTGAGTATTTCATTTTATACAACTTCGACTCCTGAAAATATGTATGAATTGCCCCCATTTACTTGTAATTTCAGAGATGCTTTATTTTTGTTTTTGTCATCAATTAATAGTTTTTCTTTATAATTTTACCTACCTTTCTTTCATTTTGTTTTCCAGCCTCCTTTTAAGTAGCTGAAATGTCTAATTAATTAAATTGGTTAGGGTACTGAGTGTCAGTCAGAAATTCAAGCCCCACCTGACTCAAATAACTTGACTGTGTCCTGATGACTTCAAGTTATTTTGCAAAGGTAAACTGCTAGTTACCAGATTAGTTAGGAAGAAAGTCTGAAGAAGAAGCAGGCCACAGAGTTTGGTCTTTGGAGAATGATGTGATTTTAAATTCTGATTTTGCAACTTCTTAGCAATCTGACCTTAGATGAATTAGTTAAGGAAACAGTCTTATACATGTTATGCCTGATAGCTCATTCATAGTGAAAACTGATGAGGACCTAAAAGTAAACAGTCTTATACATATGTTATGCCTGATAGCTCATTCATAGTAAAAACTGATCAGGACCTAAAAGTACAAAAATCAAACATTTAAATGGAAAATTTTGGAAAATAACAGTAAATAGCATCTCTAATAATTTAGACATGGTATGGTACAAGGCAGAAGGGATTTTTTTAGTCCTCTGATTTTGTAGATCTTAAAACTAGAACTCACATACATGAAATGTTGTGCCCAGGGTCACAGAGCTGGTTGCGGTAGAGCCAAAATGGAATCTAGAGTTTCTGCCTACCAACTGGCCCAATATTCTTTAGAGTGGATTTCCTTTGGGTTCTTTCAGTGTGCTAAAAGATTTGACTTTTGGGATTTTTAGTTGCCTTGTTTGAGCAATTCCTTCTTTATTTCACTTATTCAGGCACTGTGCTATTATTTACTAACATTAACTAGTGACAGTCTCCACCTTTGCAGATAAGGAAATTGAGATTTGTTAGAATACTACCCTAGACAATTGTAAAGTTAGCCAAGGTCTGACATACTCCAAATCCCTGGTTACTAATCATGGTCTCTCCGAAGAACAGTTCCTTTCTGTGTGTCTGAGGACAAAAAAGGTAAAAGCTGGGTAAAGAGGCTTCTGAATTAAGGACCTCAGCATGCCTAGGGGTTTGCGTACTCTTTCTTGACTATATTGTCTGCCATCTCTGAATGAGCGTAGTGCTCTATCTCCCTTTGAGCATTTGATTTTCAATGTTTATGCCAATAGCTATGAGCTATCTGTTTGTCTTTAGCTTTTTAATTTAGCAGTTTATGTCTGCTTTTGAAATTGTTTTTATGGAACATAATTCCAGAAAGGATTTCATATGGGCAGTTCTCGAGTTACAAACATCCAATTTACGTCTAACTCGTATATGAACAGAGGCTATTTTAGTAAGTCCTTGAGTTACAAACATAGAAACTGATAGAAGACTTGTGCTTACAGAGGCTATTACAGGTAATAGGTAAATGTACTTGTCCCAACTTATGTACGAATTCATCTTAAGAACAAACCTATGAAACTTACCTCATTCTTAACCTGGGGACTGCCTGTACCTAATAGTAATTTATTACTGAGTTTAGGAAGTTAGTTTGGACAGTAATTTTTACTTTATTTGCAGTTAAGTAATTTTATGGATTTAGCAAAAATTCGGTAGTAAAATTATTTAATTGAGCTGGAGAAGTATTTTTCTCATCTTAGCATTCGTTGATCTGTGGAGTCAGGGGAGATGGCAGTTTTATTTCTTAATTTTCTTTTTTTTATTAATTTTCTAAAAATGTAAATGTTTTAAAATTAAAAATAATAATTATAGTGAGACTTTAGTCTTTCATTTTTTTGTGGTCTTACTTTGTCCCTCAGGCCAGAGTGCAATGGCACAATCTTAGCTTACTGCGGCCTTGAACTCCGTTGCTCAAGTGATCCTTCTGCTTTAGATTCCTGAGTAGTTGAGATTACAGTATCTGACACCATGCCACACCTATATGAGTTTTATTTTTTTTTTTTTACTTTGAGACAGAGCCTCAAGCTGTTGCTCTGGGTAGAGTGCTATGGCATCAGAGCTCATAGCAACCTCTAACTCCTGGGCTCAAGCAATTCTTCTTCCATTTGCCTCCCAAGTAGCTGGGACCACAAGTGCCCGCTATAATACCCAGCTATTTTTTGGTTGCAGCTGTCATTGTTGTTTGGGCTTGGGCTGGATTCAAACCTGCCAGCTCAGATTTATGTGGCTGGTGCCTTAGCTGCTTGAGCCACAGGCACCGAGCCCCTATCTGATTTTTTTATTTTTGTAGAAACAAGGTCTTGCTATACTGCACAGGCTGAACATCTGGCCTTAAGTGATCCTGTTGCCTCAGCTTCCCAAATTGCTGAGCCACTGCACTTGACCTAAATTGTTATATTGAAAATTTGCAAGAGGAAATACTATTTAGGAATTTCTAACATTTGTATTCAGTAGGAAGAAGAGCTGGTATACTTAAAACACTTTTTTTTGAGACAGAGTTTCACTATG